CTGCTCACGGCGGGGAAGGACCCAGCGGCTGACGGGCTTCGAGCGGTGGCCGGAACGAACAAGTGGCGGCCGTTCCCCTCGAGGATCTCGGCGTCGCGAACGTTGGCAGGGCGGTTTCCCTCCCTTCGGGGGTCTGACGCTTCAGTGTATTAAGTTGTGCGTGGGCATAATTCTCAACGCGGGTTACCGTGGCCGCGGGAGACGGGGGCTGATAGCTCAGACGGGTGATGCACCTGGAAAGGGTATAGCCTGGAGAAGGGTGGCGGTTTTTTCTGTAAAATCTACTTGCCGTCACCCGCCAGATGTTCACCACCCTCACTCAGGTTGCCATCTGCTCCTTGCCCTTAAACCCCAAGTGACCTTAGCGGCCAAAGACCGACGTCTGCAACCCCCACAGCTTCGCTCTGCCCCAGGACTCGGGTGCATTTTGTGCAGCAGGTGATGCTGTAACCCGCTCCTCCTGTGGGCTCTCCCTTTATTTAGTTCTGTCATATGCCTAGCACGTGTGCGAGCAGCGGAGTGTAGCAGTTGGCATGTCTTTCTGAGAAGCTTGCCTTGCCTGAAAAAATAGTTTCCATCCGAAGGGGAGATTGACAAAATACAGGCAGAGCAGCCTCCTGACTTTTAAGCACAGTTTTTGTGCCTGCGGGACATAGGAGAGCAGGATACGTGAAGGCAGGGGTCCGCAGACAGGGTACTGAATGGGGGAAGGCGGGAGAAATGTAGCGTGTGTTACAGCACGTGCTTTAAAGCTGGTCAGATATTTTTAAAATTCCAATTAAAGTGACTCGGCAATGAAATTTTTCACAAATTGTATTGCTGTTTTCCCTCTAGGTTCCTATGGAAACAGGCCTTTATGCGATCATGCTTGGCTATGTCTCCTTTACTCCTCCAATAACTTTTGAAGCTTTTGGGCAGTTTCACCCACATCTATCTCAAATATAATTAAGATATTTCATGAAAATAGGCAGCTGGGTAGGGCTGAGAGATCCTGTAAATGTCCCAAAGGCTGTAACATGAACTTGCCTCTTATTAAACAGTGATTCACATGGTTGAGAGACCATATAAATGTCTTCGTAATGAGAAAAGTTTCAATTACAGCTCATTATCAGCCTCAGTGTAAGTCTGTGGGAAACCAGGGTTCTTCAGTTCATGTTCTCCCAGAATTACTTTTTTAACATCCTCCTGCACTCAGAGGTGGAATAGGCACATGCCGAGGGTAAGAAAGCAATGAGAAATTACTAAAGTCTGTATCCTGCGAGTCATTTCACCTGCTTCGCTCTGTGGTCCTGGCCAGTGGTGCAAAGCTGTGTATGGGAGGGGCTTCACGAAAGTGGGATTAAAGAATAAAAAAAACCCCAAACCAGGACCCCACAAAACTGGAAATAAGGGATCCATAAGCACAGACAGCTGAAGATGGGAGGGGAACTGGAAAGGTACTTTGACTGGAAGGTACTAAGAGGATTACGGTAATGGTCTCCTTTTCCAAAGACCATCAGGAGTGTCCTGCTGCCACTAGGAGCAGGGTGTCTGATCTGGACAGAAATGGGCTAAGGCACTTGGAAAGAGAGCAAGAGTCAGTAGGTTTGTTTCTCTCTGTAGCCCTGCCCTTGCGTTTTGCCTTGCTTTTTAGTTCAAAAGTGGGGTAGGAAGCGAATGACTAAAAAAGAGGACTTACGAGACATAAAAGCTTGTTATCCTTCAGTTTCCCAAATGTTTCCACAGTCACTTCTTTGCAGAGTCCTCTGCCCTACTAAAGCCCACTGTACTAAAGTGGTCTCCATTTCTTCATTTAAAGTTTATAATCATTCTGTTAGTATAGTACTGCAGTGGTTGATTTGTCTGATAATTAAAAGTAAATTTCTAACTAACTCCATGTTCACCACAATATATGTACAACACTAGGACATCTGCCAAAAACGCAGCTTTTAAGAAATGTGTCAGGAAATATTTGAAGTAGTCGTAGGAGATGGGGGAAGGGAATCCTGTGGGTGTTTTTTTCCAATTTCTTAGGGGTCTCTGATAATTTATTGATCAGAATTTTTGACATGCTCATTAGCATTTTAAGTCAGATGACATTAATACTAGGTAATAGGTAGATGCCTTGCTAAATAAGTGGTGGCACAAACTCCCATTTTAAAGGGCCTACAAGTCAGAGCATTTCTGATTTAGCACGTGTTGTGGACAAATCAAGCTGAATGCACTCTTCATTTCTAACTGGTTTAGATAGTTGTATTCATCTGAAATAATACCTTGTAGAGCTGTCAGAAGCGATGGTCCAGTTGCGTTAACTTTGCCTTCTGAAGGTGGGCAGCAATGTGAGCCAGACCCCAGCACAGGCATCCGCAGGTTGGCAGAGCCGTGGAGGTACATGGAAGGAGCCTTAGCAGTTTTCCCGAAAGAGAGCTGCATGTTAGTTGATCTTCATATTGGGAAAGGATGGCAGTTTTCAGGTTCAGAGATGAACAAAAGTTGGTGCGTGAAATGGCAGGTCATACCTGTCAAGAGCAGGATAGAGTGAAGGATACTGTAATTAAAGGATGACAGAGGGATGCCGTATTTCTCTGCAGCATTCTCTTATAGCAGGCATAATTTTTTAGAGTTTGGGGTTGACTGTGTATGGATAAAGGCTTGCCATCATATCATCACTGGTTTATGTTCTTGGGGTCTAGGGCAGTAATGACACTAATGGAAATGCATAGTTTGTTTTGGTCTCCTACTTGAAAATATGTTCTGAGGAAATTAAACCTCCTATCAGGTCCTTTTGCAGCAGCTACACTCTTTCAGACAACTTTGTTTCATTTTTACAGTGATAGAGGCATAGCTGTAAAACAAGATTATCCTTGTCACTGACAGAGCAAGTGTCCCAACATGTGGCTGAGGGGGCGGGTTTGCAGATTTTCTGCCTGGCCCCTGAAGAGCCTGAAAAGGACTTTGTGGTTTGCCAAGACCTTTCTGTTAGTCCTTTCCGTTGGGTTTCATCCCAGGAGGGCATGAACTGGTCCCAAGTGTTAATGTAAGGGTATCTAACACAAGGGATTTCCTATGGGTAAAAGTAACAACAGCACACAATGAAACACATTCACCAAATACAACACAAATGCCTTTTATTATTCCTTTAAATCTGAGCCTGTAAACAGAGGAACCAGTAAGTCTCTGTACTTCTGGGAGTCAAGTTGAGCACATGAGTAAGCTGAAGTGTGAGACTTCAGTAAATAAATGTATTTTGTTGCTGGAAAGTAATCCTTCCTACTGTAACACTACAGATTCAGGAAAAAAGAAACTGAATTCTGTCTGTATTTTCAGTATGCCACATTTCTGGATAAGTGAATTGCTGTAATAGAAAATAATGTATTAAATGTGCCTATTATTTATGCAGGAATTGAGTTCTCTACCTTGTAATTGTGGTTGTAACATTGGACTTGAACTCAGAAGATGTTAAATTTCCTTCTTCGGCACATGCATCCTGTGTGACTGAATGCTAACTACATGACATTGCCAGCTCTTTTTTTTTCTCCATTTTAGTATGGCCATAATTTCTCTTTTCTCTCACAGTTTTCTATTTAGCAGGTCAGCTACCCAACAGCCTTATTCTTACATGAGGCTTCTCGACACTACAGCCTAACTCTACCACAGGACATATATCCATCTAGGACTTGGGCAGAATTCAGATGTTTAAATCCAAATTCACAAAAATTTTGCCTATGCCCTTGGTTGCCTGGAAAGGTTGTAATAACTACTCTTGCCACCAGTGGAGCTCCAGAGTGTCTTAGCTGATTTCACTGTCTTCTGCTTGGAATTTTAAATGTTTTCCTTGGGATTCTGAGAAGATTCTAAGAAGTCCTTTCTTTCTTTGAATAAAAACTGCAAATTCCTAGCCTTTGCAGTTGCAAATTTCATCAAAAGTCACTAAAAGTTTGTTACGATATTTACTACTGCCACTCATGTCTTCTATGAGCCTAGTTTTACTAGTGTGAGCCTAGTATTCTTACTATTATAATCTTTTCCAATTTTCTGGCTTCAGATTTTGAGAACTTTTGCTTCAGAAAGGCTAAAACCTCAGGCTGTTTATCTAAAACCTCTTTTCCCAAGTCCTCCGAATTCTGAAAGCTTTGATAAAAAATACATGTTTTATTGTACTATAGAGCCATAGAATATTTTTTTTTTTCTTAGACCAAAACCTTCCATAGTTTTGGGCATCAGTGCTTCAAAATAATCTAGTATTTAACTGTAGACTTCAAAACTTTGTAAAACATATATCTGGTTAGAATGGAAAGTAATGGGAAATACTCAGCTTTATCAACCCATTAAAGGATTTCTCTTGTGGCAATAGCTCTTGCAGAGGGCAAATCTGATCACTTCTGATATGAAGAAAATAGTCTCCATGCTTGTACTGAAAAAGAAATGCAGCCTTTGGGGGTGAAGGAAAAATTAAAGAGAGGACTTCATCTAAATAGTATAGTTCACAATGAGTTTGTAAGATTGCAGGAGACATTTTGTTCTCTCCTGATCATCTCTGTATTGGTGTTTGTTTTAAATGTGATCTTTTCCAGTTTCCTTTCTCTCTTTTCTTATCAAACCTCAGTATTATATACTTCCTGTGCTGCTCTTGCTAGCTGCTCACAAGTTGATTAAGGTGAGATATAGAAAACTTGTTGGAGGTCAAAAACTTCCTCAGGGACAAAGTTCTGGGAGACAGGCTGTCAAAATAAATTTGGTAAGAGCCATTAAAATAAACAAATGATGGCCTCTTTCCACAGAAATGCAAGTTTAAATTGCATCCCAGTAAATACCCACACTAGGAGACAGAATAAGACAGAAACAAAACCGTACAGAATACCCTAGCAGAAAATAATCCTT